ATTATGTTGTAATATTACTTTCATGTAAAGTTGCTGATTGTAGAGTAGCAACTTATAGTATAGCATCCTAGTATAAATACTACCATTGTAAACCCTAAAGGACACTTTACACTTTTCTCTTTCTCCCGTGAATACAGATCGCCTCTTTCATTTGTTTTCTCTCTCTTTGTTCATCGATTATGAATCTCAACTGTGTCCTAAAGTATAACAGCAACATTGCTCAGTTCCATTCCATATTTCCATGAATTACCATTCTATCGAAGTTGATGCAGTGACTATAAGTTTGCTAAAATTAACATACAATAATGCAAGGTGAAGTAATGCCGGGCAAAATTTAAAAAATGATACACCAAGTTGGGCGTTGTCAACAAAAGAGACATTTTGTTGTCCCTCACTAAAAATAAATATGTAATTTGCATTTTTGATCGGAAAAGATACATTAATCACCCCACCTGGATAAATAGCTGACGTGGCATGATTAAGTAATGACGTGACATTTACATGGCGTGATGTGACCTTTCTTTTTGTGTACACAACTACACCTAAATAAAAAAAATAAAAAAAAAAGTCCAAAAAAATAAATAAATAATTAAGACACATCACCAAAGAATAAATAAAATAAATATAAAATTATAATAAAAAATAAAAACTATATATTTCATTAAACATATATTAAAAAATATTAAATAAAATTTGATATAGTTCCTTAATATATAATAAAAAAATTATTAAGAAAACAAATATATATTTCCTTAATATTATCATTAAAAATAAAAATATTTCGTTAATATGTTAAAATTATTAAAAAAATAAAATAAAATAAAAAAATTCGATATAGTTCGTTAATATATATTAAAAACTATTAATAATAAAATAAATTTCGCTAATATTTCATTAAAAATAAATATATTTCGTTAATTTATATTAAAAATAAATAATAATAATAAAAAATATATATGTTTCGTTAAATATATATTAAAAAAATATTAAAAAATTTCGATATACTTCGTTAATATATATTGAAAAATAGAATAAAAAATAAAAAATCTGAATATCTGGTCTTCTGCCTCCGCCTCCCGCTGCCGTCGTCCGCCGTCATTCTGTCGTCGACCGCCGCCATAGGCACTACTAGAAATTGGAGAATCAGAAACGGAAATTATTGTTGCTTAATGGTATTTTTCTGTTACTAATACACAACAGAAACAAACAAATTCCGTTTCATAATTTGTTAGTGAAAACAGGGTGGCTAATGCTCAAAAATGGAAAACAGTTCGTTACTGTTTGAAACGATTTTTGCAACAACCAATATTGTTTCTAATGGTAGAGTAGTAGCAACCAAATCTGCAACTGATATATTCATTTCTAATATTTACTAGCAGCAACCGAATCTGAAATGGAAATGTCCATTACTAGTATATTTCATTAGCTACAATTTTGTAATGGATAGTTTTGTTTCTAATGTGTCTATATTAACAACCATATCATTAACAAAAAAATCCGTTGCTCATATTTTAAATTATATACCAAAATTATAATTAAATATTACTGTTTGATTATTTTTATTATCATTCAACAAATCTAAAATTCACTACGTTGAATTTTATGTTTTAATGGTTGCAAACTTGAATACATTATCCCCCCTATATATTAATACAGAACGCGCTGAGCCTACGTGGCTGCTTCTGGTGCTTCGGAATCCTATGTGGCAAAATTACATGCTTAGTTATTAGGCTTGGATAAATTTTAATTTAATTCCAAACTAAAAAATAATTAGGTTCGGATTACCATAAATATATTGATTATTTATGGTCATGTTACATGTGTTAATTGTATTTTAATATCATTCCTTATTATAACTATTAAATTGTATATATATTTTAAAAGTTAATAACTTTTGTATTTTTTATCAGTTTTACATATGTAATATATCAAATTAATCTTCTTTTGATGAGCTTCGATTTAACATCCATATTGTATGTATAAAAAAAAGAATTTATATTTATTTTTATAACAATAATAAAATTATTGTTAATATTAATTAGAAAAATAAAATTAATTATCAACTAATATATTATATTTCAAGTAGTTATATGATATAAGTTATAAAAACTATTATAATATAACGCATGTAAGTCATAAGTAACACATATCATTCTAAAATGAGACAATTGCAATTTTAGTACAGTAACTTAGGTTGTTTCCCATTTTAGTCCACTAACTTAGGCCGATCCAAATTTGGTCCAAAAACTCTCAAAAGTTAGTCCAAAAACTTAGGATGTTTCCCAATTTAATCCACTAACTTAGGCCGATCCAAATTTGGTCCAAAAACTCTCAAATGTTAGTTAAATCAGTCCAATTTCAGTCCAATTGATTGGTCAATTTTGGTCCAATATAGTCCAATTGGACTGATTTAACTAACTTTTGGGAGTTTTTGGACCAAATTTGGATCGGCCTAAGTTAGTGGACTAAAATGGGAAACAGCCTAAGTTGATGGACTACAATTGCAATTTTCTCTTCTAAAATATATAGTAATATATTTTTTTTTTTAGAAAAAAAAGTAAACTAAATTTAATATAGTTTTCTCATTAATTTTAAAATTTAAGAATAATTTTTCAACAAGCACCCGTGTAATACACGGGTATTGTACTAGTATTTTATATATATATAACAATTTACAAAATAAGAGAAGAATAACAAAATAAATTTAATGAAGAACACCAAAATATATAATATTATTCATTATCACACACAATTTACATATCAACGTCCCATGACACAAAAACCACAAACATTCTATCACATAAAAAGCAAAGTAACAAACATTTCTATCAGATAAAAAACAACGCATTAGACAACTTTGGAACCAATATTTTCAACATTTGAATATCCACAGGCATCATTCGACAAGATTTTTCATATTCCTGAGCATTGGATATGAATCCTTTCATAGATGGGTGGACAGTTCAGATCAAGCAGCAGCCTATCGTGCTTTTCAATCTTTGTGTTCAACTCTTCTTCCTGCATCTGTTCTCCCTATTATAAGTATTTTATCACAAAAACGATAGAATACAATCATAAATATATTCATTGTATATATACTAAATTATGTGATAAAAAAAGTAGTTTACAATTATAAATATATTAATTGTGCATATACTAAATTGTATATAATTATAAATATAAATAGCTCATTAATACAATATAATACCTGTAAATAAAAAATTATCTCTTGTAATTCGTATGTTGGTGGTAAGTTTAAGTCCTGACACTCTATATTTTTCAACTGGCGTGCATCTCTATCAACCAATACTTCAATGGTGAAAGAACTCTTCTCTTTATAAGGCAGCGGAAAATTCAGATCTAATGACTCACTCCATCCCATCTATGTGGCACGACAACATTTTATTCTCTACATTTGTGAACCGATTCGTGTAAATGAAAAAATAGAACATGAGTAAACACTTCTACGCATCGAGAGAGAAAACAATATCTGAATAATACTTTGTAACCACCTAGGAAGGAGAAGAGACGTGGGTAATGTGGAGGTGGGAGTAGTTTATATCTGAATATTACCGCAACTAACGGTCTTTCTTTGATTATTACTAAAGTAACATATATATATAACATGTTTTTTTATATATTTTTTAAAATTATCATAAAATACAAATTATTAATCTTCTTTTTTTTTTTTTTAAATAAGAACTTATTTAGCTCATTATTCCATATATTTGTGCTTACTAAAGTTCTTACACCTTATATAACGATCATTATAAAGTAAATGTGGTTTCGTAACAAAACCAAATTAGATTCCGTTGCAAAAACTCATAACCATGGCACCAATTTAAATTCGTTGCAAAATTATGTTATTAATACCATAATTATGGCACCAATACTAATCCGTTGCAAAAATTCGTTACTAATGCACTTGTTTCTAGTAGTGAGGGGGCGCGACAGGGTGAGGAGACGGAATGTTTCCTCCGATTTCAGTGCGTCGTCACGAATCACTGAGAAATTGAAGAAGAAGATCATATTTTCACTGAAATTTCTAGATTTAAAACCTTGACCGAGCTATTGACGGACTTACTGGTAGAATTTTCGTCGAAAAGTTTAGGAGGTGAAAGAGGATGAGAAAAACTTCAGGATGAGAAGATATGGTCACAAGTTTGTTATATTGTTTGTATTACTTAATCAAAGTTTTTTTCTTCAGTGAAAAAATATGATTTTCTCAATATTTGTTTGTGCAAATATTATATTGTTGCAGATTTGAAATTAAAAATCATTTTGAGTACCAATGGAGTATTTGGATATTTCTCATAATTAAATTTTCATTCGCAAAATTGTTTTTTCTACAAATACCTTATTTCAAAATATGATAAATGTGAGAAACATGATTTAAATGAGAATACACCTTCAATTTAATCATCAATATTAGGAAAAAATGCCATAAATTAGAAAGAATTAAAAAGAAAATATATTATTATAAGATTGATTGGTTAAAAAAAAATGTTATAATAACAATGTACTTTACAAGATATTATTGTAATTGCATTTCCTACATCGTAACCGAGTCTAATTATGTGTCAGTCCAGAATATGTAATTGTGTCCATGATTACGAATCGTGCGAGCTTGCCGTTTAAACTCAATACATTCTAAAACTATACACAAGAGATATTCAGAACTTGGGCCAGACAGCTTAGTCCATTATTCCTCGGACAAGCCTACAAAACAAGGATTACAAATATGGGCCCTAACAGAAAAAATAGAAAACCAAATTTAGAATTTACTCGAGCGACGAAGCCCAGCATGATGAGATTTTTAGGCAACAGTCGACCTCAAGGGCTGTTGTTGGTTGTGTGTTCTTTGCTTTCTTGTCCGCCGCTACCAAACTCAAAGTCCTCCATTTTTTCCGATCAACTCAACCTCGAAGCTTGTGTACTTTCTTTGCAGACGAAAGAGGGCTTGGCCGAGTGTAATTTCTATTCTTCACGCAGTATAAGAAATGGCATCTCGACCGGAGCTCCTAGCGCCGCCGGAGATATTCTACAACGACGATGAAGCTCGGAAATATACATCATCTTCTCGAATTATAGATATTCAGGTATTTAACTCTGAACCCTAAAGACCAATTTCATGCCTTTGCCCTTATATACGCTTTGAATGTCCTTCAATTGATTGTTCTTTTCTATGTGTAAATGTTTAAAGGCCAAACTTTCTGAAAGAGCGTTGGAGCTCTTGGCTTTGCCGGAGGATGGAATGCCCAGATTACTCCTTGATATTGGTAATTCTTTTGCTGCCCATTTATTCTTTTATCTTTGCCTCAATTCATTAAATTTATATGATTTTAGAAATAAATAGCATCTCTGTTTCTTTTACTTGTCCATGTTAGAATGATATTCATTTGCTGCATGATTTTCTAGTTCACTTTTGTGCTGCGCTCGGTACAACATTTTCGAGCATTGTTTTGGCTGGTTTTAAACTGAGCAGCTAGGATTCTGTTTAGGTTGTTTCGACTTGAGATGATTATGATGCGTGGTGCTGCAATTTTTGTACCGATATCATTTTGCATCTAATTGAAAGCCATTTATTTTAATATGCTAACCTATTGAAGCCTGGTTTATATGAATACTCTCATGCTCTTTAGTTAGTGAATATCAAAACAGGTCATCCCTTGGTTGATGTGCAGTATTAAGATGCATACGTTTTACAATTACACTTTGTTGTTTTGTCCTATCACCCAAGCGAATTTTACAATTATACATTGTCGTTCTCGATTTCTCTGTCAAAACTTTGTTGGTAACTTTGTCTTTCGATGTTTGTTGCTCAGGTTGTGGATCAGGACTTAGTGGGGAGACACTAACTGAAAATGGACACCACTGGATTGGTTTGGATATATCCCCATCAATGCTAGGTATGAAGCAATTAATCTCTTGTATATAGTTTCAATTGAATTTCTTCATTTGATTTTATATGCATATAAACTAATCTTAACTGCTTCAGATATTGCATTGGAGCGTGAAGCTGAGGGTGACCTTATACTCGGTGACATGGGTCAGGTACTCACTATGTAGAGACCATTAACACATATTTTGCTTCAATGCCTTAAGTAGGGACTTGGGAATTCATATGAGATATTCCTTTTTTTTTTTCCCTGTCGAGCCATCTTACATCTGTTACCCCAAAGTATGTGGTGTCAAAAGCTATTGAAATCCAAATATGTAGACTTGTCATTTTGTCACTGAGGCAGAATTTGGTAATAACATGTGCATAATGAAATTCTGTAGGGCTTAGGACTTCGTCCTGGAGTTCTTGATGGAGCAATAAGTATTTCAGCTGTTCAGGTTCACCTTCTAACTCCTTGTCAAAATTTTTGCTTCTTAGATCCTCTTTTTACGCATTTTATTATTTTAAGCCATTTTTTAGCCATTATAATAGTTCTGCATTTTTCTCTACACAATGTGTTCACATTTCGTAATCTGCCAGTGGCATGAAGGAAAATCCTTTAGTGCTAATTTTCTTTGCATTGTTGTCAAACTAGTGGTTGTGCAACGCGGACAAGTCATCCCATGAGCCACGTCTGAGATTGAAGTATGTAAATTTTCCAAATAATGTAGAGTAAAAATTACACATTCCTCTGAGGAAATAATTTTCATGCCTCTTTTGGCCATATGTTCTGATTTAAGCATTATATTATTGTAGGGCCTTCTTTGGGTCGTTGTACAGATGCTTGGCACGGGGAGCAAGGGCAGTGTTACAGGTCTACCCTGAAAATTTGGCTCAACGTGAGCTGATACTTGGTTTTGCCATGCGAGCTGGGTTTTCAGGGGGCGTAGTTGTGGATTATCCGCATAGGTACTTCATATGATATATCCAAAAAATAAAAAAATCAGCCAAATAAATTGGTCACTGAGCTTTAGAGTGGATGTGCTTGTATATAAAAAGGAGAAATAAGTTAAATGCTGCTTAAAGATTGTGCACATGACCCATTAATTTGAATTTTTCCTTCATTATTTATTTATTTATTTTATTTTTTTCTGAAAACAGTACTAAACAGAGGAAAGAGTATCTTGTGCTCACTTGTGGACCACCATCACTAAGTAGTACTGCTCCCCAAGGAAAAGGTGAAGATGGGGAGGAGATTTGTTCGGATGATGACATCAGCAGTGGAGATGAAGAGAACGGATCTGTGAGTAAACCAATTAATGCTCGTCTCTTACCGTATACTTATATTTTTGTTTCGTTAAAACTCGTTATCCTCGATGCAGGTCCATGTGTCAGATAGGAACAGGCCAAGGAAAAAGCAAAAACTGAACAAGAAGGTTAAGGGAAGGGAATGGGTTTTGCGAAAGAAGGAACAAATGCGCCGGAAAGGCAATTCGGTTCCTATGGACACAAAGTATACTGCCCGTAAGCGCAAAGCTCGGTTTTGACAAACCTTTTTTTTTT